ACGTTTTTGGTGATAATTCGACTTTCCAGATGAATTTTGATGCAAGGTCAATTGGAGAAGGAAGCTAAGAGGTTGAAGATCGTTGTATCCAAATTTCATAATTTTCCATGGAGCCATTCATTCCAGTTTTACAAATCAATTCCGCAGAAGTTGTTTTCCCGGCAGAATTGCGCAGCTATGGGAGAATAGAGATTTGAAGGCTTTCCCGATTTTTCCTAGTGGCATGCAATATATGCCTGGAAAGATAAGAGATAAAGCTACATTTTCCATATTGTTACAGAATTTTCCAGAAGATAAATAGACCCCAAAACTGGTGTGCAACACAGATGACGTGTTTCCCAAGTCAAGAAGGATTCTTTGCTAGTTTGTGTCATTAATTGTTTAGGAGTTTATTTTATTTTAGGAGACTTTCTCCAAGACCTTTTGGGGGTTTTTCTAGTATAAATAAGGTCCCTAAGAAACCATCCATCCATCCATCCACCACCGCACCATACTACCATTCACCATCTCCGCAATTTGTAAAGAAGAGCTTAGGGACGTGCTTCGCCATGGATTCCGGGTTCTATCTTTCTTTTATTTTTATTTCTATGTGTAACTAAGTTATTTTCTAAGGTTTAGGATGAAGCCATGACATGAATATTTGAGAAGTACTTTGTTAGTTATTATCCGATTATATGCCATGTTAGATTCTTAATCTTTGTGGGTATTTTATTCTAGGTTCGAGTTTCTAATGATTGATCACCTTTAGGAATTTTGCATCTAGATATTTAGATAAATCTTTGAGGATGACCAATATCAATTAGGTTTATTGGAGCTAAGATTAAGAAGAGTAGACAAACTAGTAAGGATGACCAATATCAAGCTAGTCCTACTTGGTTGACATGATTCTTCTATACTTAATGGGTTTTTATGTGTTTAATTGTATGCCTAACCAATAGGATATAATTATCATGTAGAGATACAAAAGTTGATGCCTAACCACAGATTAATTCATACCTTAGAAAGAACAACCTTTAACATTGGCATGGTAATTGGATAGTAATTGGCTATAGGAAAAGTAAATAGGATTGTTATTGGTGGATTCATAACCTTAGGTTTTCTCGTGTCGTTGTTTGATTTAGTTAATTGTCTTTTCTTTTTCTTGTTAATTATAGTTTTAATCAATTATTCAATTCAATATATCCTTTGTTTGTTTAATTAAGTCTAGCGTGATTAATCGGTTAAATTGGTGTTAAAGCAATCCCTGTGGGATCGACCTCGTATTTGCATATATTACTACAATTGATTCGTGTGCTTGTGAGTTTAATTTGGTTTAAATTAATCTATTATTTAGGTTAGTTTAAATACACATCAATTAGTATAATGATATAGTAATGCTGTCAAATCATGTAGAATGATTAAACCTCTATACATGACTAGCTTTGAAAGAACCCTAACTAAACAATGGGAATAACAAATTGAATTTAGTTTTTGTGCTGTAAATGAAAATAACTTAAACTGCTGTTGGAAATGTGCCCTAAAGCCAATCATAAGATGATACTTTATGGACATTTCACAAGTTAAACTAAGCTGGTTTAATGTAAGGGGCAAATATTATTGTTTAAAGCTGTCTCATTAAATGTTATACGCTTAAACGATAAGTCCAAGGAATGTGTAATTAGGAGAATGTGATCTAAAGAAGTTAGATTCATGAGACCATTTTTTTTCGTACACATATCCTAAATGTTCAAGATCATAGGATTGTATTGACAATCCGGATAGATCAGTACATGCTATGTTTTCTCTCACATGAGAGTGACTAGTCTCGAGTCATTGGTGAATGATACCAAGACAAGTATGTAGGTGCTCAATACAGAGAGAGAGTCCACTAAACGCGATCAACAAGCAATTCTTATACGCATGTCACATGAGAACTCATGGTTGGGATAATGCAAAGTAGTCATTTGACCTGAGACATCATAGTTATGTTGTGGTTAGGTCCTTAGTCTTTGACTGTGTTAAATATTTCATTTAATAGTGTTCACGACATAGCTGGGGCTAATCTACTTAATCATGAAGCCATGTGAATGTGCACAACAAGGGATCTTTAACCTTCAAACCGTTGAGGGAGAATACTCAATGATATGATTAAGAATATCTTGCCAGTGTATGAATGAGATATAGGAAGTCGTTCCAAATCACAAGGCAATCATATAGACAAGAGAATCACATTGGATAGTGGACATGAATAAACTATCATTCAAACAATGTGATCAAGAGTATTGATTTAGAGAAATATTGTATTGCATTGTAATCTCAAACTGATTAGGTTCTCCAATCTCTTCTGATTAGCTTGGGTAGCCATGACATACTACTAAGTGTCACTCATGGTTTGCGGATGCCCTAAAGATGAATAATCACTAAAGGGAGGATTGAAAATGAGTTTCAATTCACAATCAATTAGTAAGAGTTCTAATCTCCCACTCTCAATAAAAGGAACCTAATGGATCACACACCGTGTAATGTAATGATTAACAGATATAACAAAGATGAGTAAGGACAATTAAATAGTTTACTTGTATATGACAAGGATTAATTAATATGTTAATTAATCACACAAAAGGTTCGTATTAGCTTTTATGTTAGTTTCAGGTTTCGGGGCTGAAAATAGTTTTGGTCCACAAGGCCTAATGACTTTGAGTTGTATGACAACTAAAAGTAAATGGGAATTGACCCAAAATTATCCTCAAAACTAGCCTAGTGTAGAGGGAGTGTGTTGGTGGATTTATTACAAGTTTACCACTCACTTAGAATGAGATATAAAGGCAACTTTATAACCCTTACCTCATTAGGTTTTCTACGAGGCAAAGATGGAGAAACACAAACTCTCTCATTCCTTAGAGAGGCCGGCCATATGGGAGGAAATAGCTAGTAATCTATTCCTATCATAGCACTCATCTCTTTCCTCATTCCTTCCTTGGTATCGAAACTTAGACGCCTCTTCCCTTGGTGGCTTTTGGAGAATCCTTTCATCCATCCAAATCCAAGAAGTCATGGAGCCAAAAGTAAAGTTCATCTTTCCCTATCCATGGAGCAAGGATACAAAAGAAAGAAGATCCTCTCATGGGTGATTAACCTTTGTTAAGAAAATAGGTGCTTTAAAGGTATAAAGTTTCTCAACTCACTTTGTTTTTTGAGTTGAGTCTTGATTCACCTCCACTACTAGACTTTGAATTCCACGGTTTAAGGTTTTTTTTTATTTTTTTTAATGCATATAAATATGCTTCCGCCATTTAATTGTTAAATGGATATAATATGTTGGTTAATGAACTTAGTTTATATGATATTTTCCTTCAAGTGCAAGAAAAATTTAACAACGAATGATATGCCATATGAAGTGTGATTTTGACAACAGTTAATGAACTTAGTTTATCTAATATTCACCATTACAAAACAAATTTCATGTTTATAAAGTTAAGTTGTATTCAACTACCAACCTGTTTTCAGAGTTTGTTTACATATACATGATTAGCCATATAAAGTGTGATTTTGATCAAATTTTCCTAATTTGCTACCCAATTGGGATGTGCAACTTCGGCTCCAAATTAAGAGTCAATAACATGCAATAAAACGTTAAAGAACCATAGAAAATACATGGCAGGATGTTTGCATAACACTCTCTTCATTCATTCACATGTCTACCAAGATTAAGTATGATGTGTACTATAACCTTGATCAAATAATCTGTAGGCAATCCTAATTGTGATCAAGCATTAAACAAATTTAACAATAGATTCAATGAATGAAATAGGAAGCAGATTGATGAAATATAAACAAGTCTGGTCGTAACACACAAAGTTTTGTGAATCGAACATTAAGTAAATCGAGGAGGAAGCCCCTCTCTTATTTTTATTTCTTTCATGTATTATTTTTTTATTCTCCTTGATGTTTTTTTTTTCAAGAGAAATGTTATTAACACTTCAAAATTTTCATTTTGCATTCCTTACAAGTGTATTTTTCTTTTTAAATATAGAAAGTTTAGAGTGCAAAATGAGACTTTTGAAGTATCAACCGTTTCCTTTCTTAATCTTTAATTTTATTTGGAAAACAATAATGCTTTAGCAATACAACTTGAAAATTTTAAAGGTTTCTTCAACTCAATTGCCAGTGATATGAAAAGTGGAGTAAATATGTCGCCTAATATGAGTAAACCTTATGCAATCACATTGGTATTATGCCTTGACTTGCATCTTACCACATGAACAACATGACAAGTATGATGGGTTTTGTCACGAAATGCCTCAATATAATTAGATATAGAACCCTTTTAATATTTTTGACTTTGTCAATTGTTTGATGTACAATTCTTATATTCTTCAATAGTTGATTTGCACAATGGATTTTAATTGGAGTTGCGCACGCGGTCTTTAACCTTCCACACACCTCATTATTTTTGGTCATTGAATTGAATAAAACAAATGAAAACAATAGATATGATTAAATAGAGGTGTGCTGGAAAAAGAAAAAACAAACAAACAAACAAAAAAAGAAAAATCATTTTAATATAGCGGCAATGGTGGTAGTGATGGAGGTTGTAGCGATGGTGATGCTGGTGGCAGGAACGTTTGAGGGTGGTGGAAACATTGAGGGTAGGGATACTTGAGAAGGTGGCTACAGCCGTTGAGGGTGGTGGAAAGAATGAGGGTAAGGATACTTGGTAAGTGATGGGCAGAAGCAATTGAAATAGTCGGTGGTGGAAATGATGTTGGGAACTAAGATGACGGAGAAGTTGGTGGTGAGGATGCCGGGAGATGGTAGCGGTTGGGGTTGGTAGGGGATGTGGTGGTAGTGGCTATGTTGGTGAGATGTGAAGGGGACAGATTGTGGTGATGGTGATTTTAAAACACAACTCTCAATATTATTTTCTATCAAATAGGAGGTTGGAGAGATGAAAAAATACAACGGGTGTGGAAGCATGGAAATAACCTAGCATAATAAGGCTGACCATAAACAAATTTAAGTGCATACAACACGAAAATCCACAGCTGAATATATATAAAGCTCCAAATAACAATCATAAAAGTGCATCGTCTCCCGAATCTCACTCGAGGCAATCAAGGGTGCGAAGGAGGAACAGAAAAAGGAAAAAAAAAATACAGATTAAAAGTTGAGAGTGCGCTCCACAACATCATACAACAGCCAATACTAAATCCGCAACCTGAGATGCACCGGAAGTCGATGATACCCCCAGCTTTCAGCATGTGAGGCAGGCAGCTACAAATCACTGCAACCGCGGAAACAAAACTCGCATAATGAACAAGCCTAATCCGACATAAAAAAATAAAGATGCATTTAAAATGAATGATAACTACCTGCTGTTGCTGTTGGTATGCACCAGGCTGCTGGTAGTTTCCGTATCCAGCAGCATAGCCTCCATAATACATGGCAGGATCTTGGGCTGGAGGAGGTGCGTACGAATATGCATCATATCCTTGTGGATATCCATAAAATCCAGCACCACCAGCGCCATTCCACTGTGCCTGATCTGGCTGGTTCTGAACCAATTCAATCAACCAACAAACAGGTTCAAATAAAGTATGTAGAACAATAAAAAGTTAATAAAAAAAAACAATATGGTCGCTGAATAAAAACCTGTTTGCTTGTAGGACTGCGGCCCCATGAAAGCCGAATACTTTGTCCTCCCAATTGTGTTCCATTCAACGATCCCAATGCTTGCTCCGCACAAGATCTGAAGTAGAGTTCATGCAGACGACAAACACTCATATGATAAGTACTTTATAAGAAGGAAAGGAAGAGAAAGAGCACCCAGGAAACTTATATCAAGACTACCAGGAATGATGAGCTGTTACCTGTTCGCAAATTGAACAAAACCACAACGCTTGCCTACTGGTATCTTCACATGAACAAGCTCACCAAACTGACTGAAAACTTGCCTCAACATGTCATCATTCACACTGGGATCCAGACCCCCAACAAATATCTGCACTCAAAAGTTTCAGGAGTTACTATCATGCCACAAGAAATGTACAATGCCAATATTAGAACAAACTACGCACTGTTGTATTATTTGGATCAGCTTCGCCTGGATTTCCTTGAGTACTTGGGTAGGAAGCTGCAAATATAAACACATAAGAACTAATTTATCTGATAATATTAAATGCACAGATAAAGTTTTCTGCAGAAGAAATCCTTATCAGCCTGGTACGCATTGAAGAACTGATAGTTCAGTTTACACCATGCCATTATGGTTCCACAACTCACAATCTCAAAATGAATCAATTTGTCAAATTAACATGTCAAATAGAACTGTGTGTGCAAAACAACTTCCATGCAAATTATCTATTCATTAATACACTCATTTATCCAAAGGTCTATCTCCTCCAACTTCAAACTGACAGTGTTGAATGAAGCATTCCATATAACTGTTATTGTTAGCATATTACACGACGCACCGACCAACTGACAATAACCAACATTGTCTCTATTACTTAACATCCACCTCCCAACACTATCACTTTGATTTTCTAACAAGGAATTTGTCTTTTAACAAGAAACAATGGACATCATAATTATCAAGAGGTCATCAAACATAATAAATTACATAAGCAGACACAACAAATCTAAACACGCAATTAAACAGATTTCTCAAAATCTATACAAAGAGTTAGAGAGATCACGTAGACTCCAACCCAGAGAAGTCTAAATGAAAAAGTACTTTATAAACCTATTCCTGATACAATATTGGGATGCCCACTTTACCACAAATTACAAAGTGGCACTACTACCTAAATCACAGCGAAGAAAGGAAGATGATAAGATGCAAGCTCACAAAAAATTTAAAAGAGCTGCTATTGATGCTCCAAAAGTAGGCCACATAGACTTTTCCCAAGTGAAAAAAAAAAGTAGGGAGGGGGGAGTGCAGTGTCTTTTATGGAGTGCTAATAACAATTCCCAAATTTAATGGTGATTTCATTAAACATCTGAACTAGTCCATCGTCTTCAACTAAAAGTTTAAGCATTTCATGCAGATTTATAATCTGACCTAAGATAAGGGCTGAAATTTGGGAGCACATTCTAACCTGTCAAATATAGAGAACATTGTGGAACCGATCCACAAAGAAAAAAAAAATTTGGTTCTTCAACACAAGCTAAGTATTAAAAGAAGGATATATAAACTTCGGAAACGGAGTAAACGTAAACCTGACTGGCAAATGGAATAAATGTAAACCCGACTGGAAATAGGAACAAAGTAAACCAGACTGGTAAATGGAATAAATTTAAAGCTGACTGGTAAATGGAATAAATGTAAAGCTGACTGGTATATGGATTAAATGTAAAGCTGACTGGTAATGGAATAATGTAAAGCTGACGGGAAAGGTAATTCTTGAGTAGCATAAAATGCCACGAGAAAAGAAGTAAAGAGCTTCTGACATAAACAAAATAACTGACCTAAAATGAGGCCACGCACTAATGTGGAATCATTTCATCTGAAATCAGTTCCAGGCCCCCGAAAATGAGAGCCTCTCGGTGTCCTGCTTTAAGACAACATGAGTTTCACATAAGTTTTTGCATGTTTTAACATAATTAAATGCGCCCAAGTTTACAAAGGAAAGTACTCGAAGGAAATGACTAAGTCCCGCCAATCTTCAACTGAATAATACGGCAAATTTAGAACACTTGAGAGAACGTCACCTCGAAAATGGAAATTAAAAGCCCTAGTACTAGTCACCAAACCATAGTTAAACATAAGGTGAAAGATATTCATAGAGTACAAGAGCAGAACAAACATCTAAGAAAAGAATTCACTACATTGAAGCCTTTCATACAGCTGCAGAAGTATTCATGTGGGTATTACCACAAACCATAATGCAACACTAACTAGAAGACATACCTTTCTGATATTGCTGTCCACCACTGGCTGGTTTCTTAGTAGCCGCAGGCCCAATCCTCATTGGTCTGGTAGAGCAAAACTGGCCATTCATCTCAGTCATGGCTCGCAATTGCTCACCTTCATCAGCAAACCTAACAAAACCATATCCCTTGGATCGCCCTGTGGTCCTATCAGTTACAACCTTTGCACCCTTGACAGAGTGGTAATTTTGTCTAAATGTTTCTTGAAGCATATAATCAGTCACATCAGCAGCCAAATCCCCGACAAAGACGGTAAAATCTGGACCATCATCCTGTCGTCTCTCGCCAGCACCTAGGGTTGCCCAATTCAGTCTGAAATTCTGCTCCGTGTTAGGCATAAGAGTGCCATTGTATGTCTGCAAGAACTGCTCAGCTGCAGCGCGAGACCTAAACTCGATAAAACCATAACCTTCTGGCAGACCCGTAAGCTTGTTGCGGATAACCTTTGCGTTCACAGCCTACAAACAACTCAAGAAACAAAAATGAATACAACATAATGGGATCCACAAACAAGGTACAAGTACCATAATAAAATAGCAAATATCAATTGGGATTTCACACCCTAGACGTAATTTTTGGTCGAAAACTCTAAACCAACTATAGTTTTGATGTTTATATTGTAGGAGTTTTCTCGAACAGAATTTTCGGCTGAAAAATCATCGAAAGTTTGGTTTTTTATTTTGCAGATCACATCTAGAAACAAACCCTAAATTCCAAATTTGAAGTAGCACTTCAATAAAAAAACCAATCAGCGGACAGTAATCTAAAAAAAAAAAAACCCATAAATTGAAACCCTAAATGAACCTACACAAAACAATACAAATAATCATATGCGTGCGCGAGTATATACCTCTCCGGTGGGACCAAAGCAGCTGAGGATATAAGCCTCGTCCATCCACTGCAGCAAGTCACCGATCCAGAGGGAGCGGATCTCATCGGAGCCAGGATTCTGTGTGGTCGCGTACTGCTGGGGCGCCTGCGGGCCCCACCCAGCCTGAGCCGGAGGGGCTTGGCCCTGTTGCTGTGGCGGCATCATCATCCACTGCTGCGGTGGCTGCTGCTGGTACTGCTGCTGCGGATCCGACGGAACCTGTTGTGGGTGCACTCCTCCTGATGGTTGTTGCATCATGGTGAAGATAAAGGCGGGTGTTTGGGTACGGCGATAAGGGTGTCCTCGTGGAGGAGGAGGAGGGGGGACTGCGGCGCGGTTTGGGAACACCGATAACCTTAATCCCGGATCGGGCTTTTGAGAGGGGGAGATATTTAAGCGGTAGGGATGTCTTATATGGAAGGGAGGTTGCGGAGTGACACGTGGCGACCTACTATTGGTTGAACTGTGATAGATTGTTGACTATTCGGCCGATGGGCCGGTCCTGGGCCTGACCCTGACCCTGACCCAAACCCTAATTTTTCTTAAACCATGAGTTCCCCAAAATCAAGGTACGCATTCAAAGTGATTTTCTGTTTGGTTGGTTGCCGAGAAAATTTGTAGAGTGACTATTTGTTGGAGTACTGGAGGTGGAAGTATTACAAAGCTTGTGTCATGTTGTCATCTCATTCTTATGTGATGCCGTTTCTACTACTAGGAATAGTTTGTTCACATACTAGGAGATCGATAAACGCTATACCCGCCCTTTGGAAACTAGTAAAGGTGATTGTGATTCATCACATTTGTTCAGTGTTGTTACATTTTATTTTCTTCCGGGGAGGGGGTGGTTGTGGCGCTGTGGGGTTCATTGATCATGTACTTTCCAAGTGAACTTCTCTCTGGTATGTTCAGTTAAGATGCGGCCTGAAAGATTTTAAATCATAAAATCTTTGGAGGTCTTTCCAAGTGAATGAGTTGTTGCCATGTTACAACTTTATATCTAGTCCTTTTTCTGTATTCTTGGTGTACAGGTTTTGTATTGGTCTGATTGTTTTCTTGTTATATATCCTTTCCTCAGTAGTAGGCTATTTCTTCATGCTAATTTTCCTTTGTTTTTCTTGCAGATGTATACCTCATTTCAGCCCTCTCAGCATATGTGTACTGCAGAAGCGTCTGAGGTTGCTCGATTCTGGATCTAGAACATTTACAATGCCAGAAAATTCAATGATATCAACATATGTATGCAGCACAGTGAAATATCACTTGCAAACTCAGGTACACGTCTGTTATTTCTTAGCTTGGTATTGATTGTTTTTTTTTGTAATTAATGCAGTCTAATATGAAATTTAAGTTTGATAGGTTGGTGCAGGATTGCTTTCTTCTTTGATTTGTTCGGTGTTGGTTGAGAGACTTGGTGACTGTTCCGTCGTTGACAATTCTGGTGAGGGATAATTTAGTTGCAATCCTTAGTCCCTAACTGTTATAAACTCAAACCTTATATATTTTAAATTTTTGATTGAAGTCTCTCTCCTACTACATAAATGACATAATAATAAAAGAGATGCAATAATACCAATAAAGACTCAATGTGACGACCTGTCCTTATATTTCACTGTAATTTCTTTTCCGTTAGTGAAATTTGACGATTTTACCCTTCTTCGAACAAAAGTGGAATCCGACGTGGACGTAGTTTGTCGACCATTGTTTCTTTTCCCTGGGTTCGTACTTAAAAAGTACTCGTTGTTACGAACGCATGAGCATGAGATAGACCCAAATCGGATCTGTAACGAAAAAGTTACGCTCCGTTGAAGTACGTTAACCACGAGTATTTCTATACATGCACGTACAAATTTACAGAGTTGAAACACTATCAAGGAGACGGATTTTGTACATTTAAAATTGTACAAAATCCATCATATCCTTCCTTTTTCCTACTTGGTGGATCCGGTCTTCCTTTCATCTCACATATCCACCAATCACTTTCCATGAAACCCTCTTCACCACCAATCAAAAGTCATCACCATCACTCGCACACAACCAATTAGATTTTTCCCAAAAATCTGTCCCCCAATCAGGGCACTCAAACTTTTTCTCTCATCTCTCTTTCCCCGAAGGCTCTCTCTTACTCTCTCACTCTGCAACTCCCTCAAACAAGCATTAAAACACAAAAACATGGCTTGAAAACCACACCATCGAACTCGTCTCACCACCATGAACACAACTGTACCAATCAATCACGAGTTGGTTAAGTTTTGAGAGGTCAACGTGGAGCAACTCGTAAGCTCTGACTTGGACCAATTTAAACCGACGTAATCCTGGCCGAGTCGCAGCGTTTTAGGACTCGGGGAAGCTTTTAGACAACTTCCTGAGGTCTTTAGTGAAGGTTTGAGGAAGCTTTGATGTGAAACAACCTGGTTTTGAGAAGTCAAAGTTTTGACGAAACCGTTCGAGCCATTTTTAGGCCTCATCCGTCCACTTTTTTGACTTCCAAAAGGTACAATCATATACTACTCTTCGCAAGCGTCGTTTCCATAAAAATTTCATAAAAAATGGTTGAGAAATGAGTAAGTTATGAAGCTTTGAAATTTTACCCAGAAATCTGCGAAAATTTCCAGATTTCCGGCTAGTTCAAATGGCGGCGGAAAGTGTCAACCGGCGAGACTATCGGAGAAGACGACATAATATTCTAACGGTGTTAGGTAACGCCTTTAACTTCTGTTAGTATTTAACGGAATATTCCGCAGTTTTGATGGAATATTCATGAAGGATGTCAAGGTTTGGCCTGCGCGTGGTGGCGCGTATGGCCATGGCCTAGCAGGTGCGTCTGGACTCCGATTGGCCTTCTGTCAATTTGGGCAGGTTTATGACATCGAGTAGATCAATTTCATATATTTAAACCCTACGTTTGACCAAACTATGAGGATTTTATTTAAGTTTCCGTTTATGTGTTATTAAATTAAGGGAATAAGTAATTTCATGTATAAGGGAAAATGTATCCCAAGGAAGTACAGGGTCAAACAAGGCTCTGAGGCTTCGTTCCTATTGCGTATCTATGAGTGGGCATTTTGTTTTCATATATATATATATATATATATGTATGTATGTATATATATATATATATTGTATATATATGTATATATATATATATTGTATAGTTTCCACAAATACTTTTAAGTTGATTTATGCATGTTATGCCACGTTTTACTTACTTTTAAAATAATGCCATGGTGGTTGAGTCTTTTATTTGATCATGGCATATTCATATGCATTTTACTTGCTCATAAATATTATGCATTGTGATATGCCAATTCATTCTACGAGATGCGCAGGTAAGTTCAGATGAGTTTATTGTGTTGTTTGGAATGATTGAATTGTATGGCATGCTCATATTCATATGGTTCGCTCATCATTGCTGCACCGGTGTTAGTGTTCCCACCCCAGGCCAGGGCCAGTCCTTCATGTGATGTTCACGTCACACCTCACACTCGCCTTGGATCCAAGTAGGTGCTAGTCCTACCGTACAAGTCGCATTAGGTGACTTCGACTCGTAGGTGACGCGCATAGCGCTAGTCTTCACGTGATTGTAACACTAGAGCGTATATTATCACACCTAGTCCTACGTACATGTCACATTAGGTGACTTCGACTCGCGTGTTAGCATAGATGAATGAGCATTAGGTGCAGTCGTATAGATCATATTAGGTGACTTCAACTTGCGTGCTAGTATAGCTTGTTAAGCACATGATTATATTCATATTGCTGTTGAGATATTCTGTTGTGGCATATTTCTGAATTTATTGTTCGCATGCATTTGGTTTCATACTTATACGTAGTATGATTTTCTGAAAATTATACATGTTTTACAACAAGAGGTTAGTATGTTCAGAAAATAAATGAATTTTATAAACCTTTATTTTTATGCCCACTCACCCTTCTATTTTTCGCCCCTCCAGGTTCAGTAGTTGTGCTTACATATAAATGAGGACTCCTGCAAATCTCAGTAGACAGTTATCTTCAATGGTATAACCCTCACCCTATTCACTGTACTGTTCTTATGCTCTAACGTCATGTATGAGATAGGTTCATTCCCGCTCACCAACGCACTCTTGTATTTAGGCACTTTTAGGTTTAAATTTATTTACATTTTCCACATCACTACACTTTATGGCTTCGTCACCTTCTAGATGTCGGCCAGCACAACTCAATTCGAAGTCTTAGTGGATGTTTCGAGTCGGGGTGTGTCACTCAACCGTTTTTTTGTTTTTTTTGGCTTTGATTTACACTACCAATTTAAGTATTCAAAATTGCTTATAGGTTTTGATTAAAAAACAAAAAAACAAAAAATTGATAATTGCCTATGGGTGCATTCTATATTATAAAAAAAGGGGATTTTATTTTATTTTTATAAAATGAGTACATTTATATAATAAAATTTGGCTACATTATATATATAAAAAATTGTTACATTTACATAAAAATATGGGTACATTTTATATAGAAAACAATGGGTACATTTTATATTTAAAAAAAAACAATGGTACATTTTAGATTAAAAAAGAAATATATTTTACATTAAAAAATGGTACTTACAAAAAAAAAATAAGGATACATTTTACATATAACAAAGTGGTAAATTTGTGGAAAAAAAAATGGGTATGTTATAAATAAATTATGGGTACAAATAAAAGGTTAAAAGAAATTATGAGTACAAATAAAAGTTTTAAAAATAAGGGACAAAAAGAAATTAATATATGGGTACAAATTAAAATTTAAAAGAAAATTGGTACAATTTAAAAAAGGGTTGCAAATTAAAAATGGGTACAAACTAGAAATAGAAATATATGATAAAAAGTTTAGCCATAAATATAATATACCAACTAAAACGTTTCTAACACTAACTGAATATATTTAAAAATAAAACTTAATTATCTTGACATGTAAATATTTTGTTTTTGAATAATTAATGGCGTTTATTAAAACCAAACGACCTTGATCAAAGTTTGAAAATGAATAAGGTTTTAATCAATAGAGTAGAAAAAATAAAGATGAGAATATAATTTCTCCTTTTGATGATAACATCTGTGAGTGGAGGCCTCTAAAGAATTTACTGCTCTTTTACCACTCGCAAAAGTATAGATAAAAACACTTAAAATACTTGCAAGAGTACAAGATAATCGTAGTATGGCAACTCTAGTAAGGTCGTTCTCCACATGGATTGAATGAATAATTTATGTAAAAACCAAATCTTAATTAATTTTTTGAAAATAAATTTGGAAAAGTGGTGATTTTATGACCTAAAATATTAAAAACAATTAAATAAAGAGAACTTTAATGAAAAGTTTATAGTACTGTTCATTTTAACGAAAAAACATATTTTTATACTAAAAAGTCAATTATGG